GCTTACATGGACAACATAAGGTAAAGAGAAATGCCACATCAGGCCATGTCAACAGGAAGATATGATAACCTGCTAAAAGTTCTAGGTGATTCTTTTTTCTTGATTTGTGGCTTGATATATACGATATGAAAGTTCATGGTGCGGGATGAATAATCAAATATGGTTCATGGTGCTAGATGACACTTTAGCCAAGTGTAAATTCTTTTATCCTACACCAAATTGGTTATTGTTATTAACAAGCGCGATCTAACAACATATCTCTCCTTACTTTATCGGTAATCAAAACAGGCTCTTCAATTACTTCTCTAGATAATTAACAACCCTAAATAAGCCCTTAGGATTTAATTAACTATCAGCATTAAGAATTAGAAAGACTACCAATTTTAGCCGACAGACTCGCAAGCTCAGTCCATTTAAACTAGACTATACATCTCCATAACATAAGATTGAAAATCTCTTTTATAATCAACTATGTTATTTTACGACTAAGGTTTAGAACACTTAAACAATTACAGATTTAAGAATTCGAAATGGCAATTTACTGGATTGATAATTGAACAACAGATCCTTTTTGTACAATTAATCAAAGCAGTAATATCAAGATAATAGAAGGCATATAAATAGTGTAGCATAAAAGAAAATCAAATTAGATCTCACAATTCTAACAGAACTAAAACTTCAATTATTATTGAGTTGGAAAATAAACTTAACAACACATCATAATAAAATGTACTGACTGTCCTCTATTGAATAATTCAGGCCTATTTATACTAATTTCAGCACCCTAATCAGCTAAAAATAATCCTAATTTCCCTAACATCCTCAAATTGAATCAATTTCTTCAACCACATAAAACCTAGAAAATAAATAATATTTATTTTCTAAATACTACGCACCAAAGAAAATAAGCTCCAGTTGATTTCGTCCGTTTGTGGTAGCAGACTAGCAGTTCGAAGCAGTCGCAGAAGTTGTTCGCCCATGGAGTCATTCATCGCAGCAGACCGCGAACGGAGTTCCCATTGCCGATGTCGTCGCTGCGTTCACAGAAGACGCTCGGAGGAAGTTTCGCTGGTGTCTACGTTCGTAAAAAGCTTATAAGGGAAAAAAAGATAAAGAAAGGACAAATATATTAAACGGGGCAATTTATGTTGTCCATCTGTGTGCACCCGGATGCAAAAAACGGCATCGTTTTACTTAAATAAAAAAAAAATCATTTTTGATTGCCTTTAGTTACGTAAACATATGTTCATAATTTTATAATTTCATATTCTATATTTATAGTTATGAAATTATAGATGTGTAGTTATGCAATTCTGGATTTGTAGTTATGAAGTTATGGATGTCTAATTATGCATGCAATTCTGAATGTATAGTTATGAAGTTATAATTTCAAATGTATAGTTATGAAGTTATGGATGTGTAGTTATGCAATTTTGAATGTATAGTTATGAAGTTATGGATGTGTAGTTATGCATGCAATTTTGAATGTATAGTTATGAAGTTATGGATGTGTAGTTATGCAATTCTGAATTTATAGTTATAAAGTTATGGATTTGTAGTTATGCAAATCTGGATTTATAGTTATGAAGTTATGGATGTGTAGTTATGCAATTCTGATTTTTTTTTTTTAAAGGTCGGACGTCAAAACGACGTCGTTTTTACAACCGTGTGCACCATGCAAGGTGCACACGGTTGCATCATGCATGTGTAGTTTGGGCTGCTGAAATTATAAAAAAAAAAAAAAAAAAAAAAAAAAAAAAAAAAGAATTAACCTACTTCAATTCCACCTTGCCCAACTCTTATTAATTAACAAATGTATTCCCCATGGCCCAAAAATGACATTTAAGCTTAAATTATTCAAATAACTATTATATTAATACAAAATATAAAATAAAGTTTAAAATAAATATAATATTAAATAAATAAAAGTAATTTATTATAATAAACTATCTAAATTAAATATATTAATCGTACTTATCAATATACTTGTGGGTAGCCTGGTTTTTTAGCAATTATATCATGGACCATGGTCCACAAAGCTTTGTAGACCATGATGCAAAAACGGCGCCGTTTCTTTAAGTAAAGAAATGGCAGCCGTTATAGCTTAACGGAGCGCGTATTTTTGGTGTGTTAATTACAAAATGAAACTACAGTGTATCTAAACTGAAACTGTCTCACATATTGTTTTTATATTATCAAATGAAACTGCAATTGAATTGAAACGAAACTATAGTAGTGTTGAAATGAAACTACAGTGTATACAAAATGAAACTGAATAATAATTTCACATATTTGAGTGTATATTATCCAACGAACCTGTAGTTATATCAAAACATTACTGTAGTTGTGTTGTAATAAAACTATAGTGTATATAAAATGAAACTATAGGTATTATCCTACCGCCGCCGCGTCCAAGCTTCGACGCCGTCGCTGTGTCCAACCTCTGCCGCCATCGCCGCCTCCATCCTCTGTCGTCGTCGGTCCAACCGCCACCGCCGTGAAGAACTGAGGTTTAGCTTTTAAGGTTAGCTTTTCTATTGTAATGTAATAAGCTATCAAATTCATCCAAAAGTTATCTGATTGTATCAATGTGTGTGTTTATGCTAAACAATTTTGGATTTAAGCTAGGGTTGGGGAATTAGGGTTTGAATTTGTGCAAAATTTCTGTGAAATTTCGCTATTTAATGTTCATATCTTGAGTTCTAAGCACCCTGCAATAATAAAAATTTAGTCATTTTGTATAAGGAACTCAAAAAATAATATCAGTTAGTTATTTCCTTATATAATAAACAACATTAAAGGTTTCTCTCCATTAACTTTATGTACCTATTGGATGTCATCACTAGTAGTTGTAGTTGTAACTAATGGTGGATCTCCATTCTCTATTCGGATCGACCTACTTTCAAATATATGCATGCGCTTCTTAAGGTCACGGTTTTCTTCATCCTTCTCATGGAGTTTAGCCTCTAGCTCTTTGATGTAAATAGATTTTGTGTCATTTAAGTTTTTTCGCTTCACTCCACCCCCATAACCATATACATGACCATGACGTTGTTGTCCAAAATGTTTTTCAACAATTTCAAGGTTTGAAAGTGATGGGTTAGACCTAATAATCTTCACAATTTCATTCTATAAAAAGATTACAAGTAAACAAGATTAATGCAGAAGTATATCAAGATAAAAAGATTAATGCAGAAAGGCTAAATAATGACACTTAGCTTACATATTTTTCTTCTTCTTTTGTCCCATTTAATTTTTCAATTTTGCTTCTAGTCTTTAAGAAAATTACTCCCAAGTCAGGCGGTTGTGAATCTTTACCTCCCAATAAGTTGAGAAAAACAAATGTCATTCTAGGTAAAAAAGAAAAAAAAATTCATATATAACTAGCAGAACTGTTTTTTTTAGTACATTTTCAATATGATTTCTCTATGTGGGTTACTCCCTGTGCGATAGGCATTCCCATATCTGATGTTGACCTATTCTTAGTGTTTTGCTAACTGATTTTCTGCATAACTTTCAAATGTAAGTGATTATTTAAATAAAAAATATTTTTTTATAATATATAAAACCGTCATTACCATATCAGATCAACATACTTGAAACTTTTCTGTCATAAATTTGTTAGTGACAAACCACTTCCAATCTTCAACATCTACTCCAGGTGGAACACTTTTTAAAGCCTCGGTCTTACTTGATGCAAGGTCTCAGAAATTTTATATTCAAAAGTGACCTCCAATTTGTCCACAAAGTATAGATATGCTCTAGGGTATCATCACGATATAACTCAATATTTGGATTATCAAAATATTTGAAATCTTGTAAATTTCAGTGTAATGTGAAATTCAGCATTCTTTGACTAACTATATGATTGAAGAGGGAAATTCACTTATCTATTATTGATTGCAAGATTTTCATTACTAAAGAACCTTATTTTATCATCGTAGCTGCAAATTAAGCTTTTATTTGAATCTCTTGCTTCTATCTCGGGTCTCTCAAGTTGCATGTAGACATGCGTATTTAGTCTTTCGTTTCAGATGTAGTTTGATTTGCTGGTGTCGGAGATCAGCCAAGGAGATGAACGGAAAAAGCAGAGAGGAATTGAGATAAGAGAATGATGAGAATGGTTTTCATTCATTCTGTTAGACGAATACAAGAAGAGCATATATACAAAGAAAGGGCGGCAAAAGCCGTTGGAACTGCCAAGATGATCAAAGACCAGAAGGCCCTCGACTAATTCACATTATCCCCTTCTACATCATGCTCTAATAGCTGGTCTTTTGGTTCTGATCATTGCGGCCCTAAGTCACATCTCTATTGTGTCTAAGGTCGATAGCTCAGCTAGTTATGTTGATGTAGGTGGTGAAAATCCGACTACAACAGCAGAGAGGTTTAAGCCCTGAGCTCCTGAAGTACAAGGGGCCTATACAGTATACACTGTGCCCGAATGATTGTTCGTGAAAACGGGATTCGTGGTCTGTGGGCAGGGGCTGCCCCAACAGTTATGCGAAATGGGACGAACCAGGCGGCAATGTTCACAGCCAAGAATGCATTTGATAATGGGAATGTCCTTCAGCCATGGCAGTCTATGATTTCGGGTTTCCTTGCAGGGACAGCTGGTCCTATATGCACTGGACCTTTCGACGTTGTGAAAACGAGGCTGATGGCTCAAAGCCGATCAGGGGGTGATTTGAAGTACAGAGGACTGTTTCATGCCATCTCAACTATATACACCGTACCGAAGAAGGTATACGTGCTTTGTGGAAGGGGTTACTTCCCCGGCTTATGAGGATCCTGCCTGGACAGGCCATTGTGTGGGCTGTTTCTGACCAAGTGATTGGTTTGTATGAGAGAAGACATATACAAAACGCTGCGCTATAGCCTATAGGTAGCTCGACAATTACTCCACATTTCTCCTCTTTTTCTTGTGGATTGTAGTTCCATTCTTTGGCAAAAGCGTGCTAGCTGTTTTGGCCACTTTAGATTCCCTTAAATTAGTGGTAATGTCGAGTGAGGGACAGTTCTCTTGTCCCTGGCAAAATGGTATTTGAACACAATAAGATTAGAATAAAATATTCTAACAATATGAACTCCTTATCTTACAAGCACATGTTGATATTTGATAGTGATAATTTTTTCCCTACATGTTTTATGTGTTGTGAAATGTGTGTCGTAGGTTATCATGTGTAACTATTGAACAAAATATTAATATTTATTATATTTCTATAAAATACTTTGTAAACAAATATATATAACATACAGGGCCGGCCCAGAGGGGCGGGCAACATGGGAACCCGCCCAGGGCCCAATGTTGAAAGGGCTCCCCTAACTTGGATTTTTATTTTTTTTGATAATGTTAAGAGAAAAAAAAAATTTTATTGCATGAGCATATATTTGAACCCACAACTTCAAAATTACTATTTAACATTAAATTCACTTAACCATTACAATCATTTAATATAATAATTCAATTAATAGATACTTCATATATATAAGAGAATACTAATTTTTTCAATGCGCAATGCGTAAAACTAATGCCCAACATTAGTATTCAATGTTAAAATCATAGTTATAATTTTTTTAAAAATAAAATTTTATAAATTTTTAAAAAATTCACAAAGTTTATAGTTGTAGAATTCATATTATATATTTAAAAGTATATTAATAATTATGGTATGATTAATAATTTATTTTTACATATTCTTACATAATATCTACATATATTATTATAATTAAAGAAGGTAAGAAAATATATGGTGCATGCAAGTGCATTGTAAGAGTAATGGAAATAGATAATTGAAGTTATAACGGTAGGGGCATTGTTGTCCAAAAAATAATATAGTACAACATTTATAGCTTAATGTATCAAAAAAAGATAACAGAAAAACAGACATAAATGAAGGGTACCAACCTTCATTGACACTTAATATGTTTTTATTATTTTATTATTAGATTAAATTAATTTATAATTAAACTTCATGTAGGGGCCCAAAGTTTGAATGATCACTACTCCAGGATTAGTCCAACTATTTTTTTTTTTAATAAAGTCTTAAAAAAAATTATATGTAAATAAAAATTCAAAGTTATCCTTGAATTGTTTTCAATTAACACAATCTTTTGAACTATATATATATATATATATATATATATATATATATAAACACTTTAACTTTATATATTAAGGGCCCTTCTTTTTTACTTTGCCCCGGGCCTATAAAATGATAGGACCGGCCCCGATAACATATTTTGTAATATAACTTAGATATTTAATTACAAGATAATGTCTCTTCAAAAAAATGTTTTTATAATTGTTGTCTAAATCCATCTTTCTAAATCTATAAAATGATCTAAATATTTATAATTAACTCCAAAAAACTTGGACAGCATTCCTTTGATAGGAAATTTTATATCATACATTATTTAATTAGTTGTACTATTAAGTTATTCAACGTCATAGAGAGATTACATAGTATGTACCCAAAAAAAAAAAAAAATACAAAGAGATTTTATAGCATCGATCTACTTTTTGATTATCTATTAGTGGTTTACTTCATTACGAAATTTAGATTGTATTATTTGTGCTCATTTTTTATTCCTTTTTTTGTTTGAATTGATGCGTCTCTTAAAGGTTTTTGTTTCTTTTTTTATTGTTGATTATACACATGTATGTATATACGTATGTAGTAATATAATAAATTAATATACAGAGGAAAAAATTTATGTTAGTATCAATTAATTAATGTGTATTTGTATATTGTATTAAAGTATAACACATGCATATACATACAAGAGAAAGCTTACTATTCTAGTCAAATGAGTTAAATTACAGTTGACAATGAGTGTTCGTTACCATAGTTTATAGTTTTTATAACCATATCCGTCGTCGCATAGACAATTATATACTTTTAGTTCACATTTTAATTGTTAATGTTATTGGTTGCTCTAAATTTGCCAGCATGAGTTGGTTTTAAATTAGAGGTCAACTTTCGAAATCTAAGCGAATTACAATATTACTTGAATTTAATAACATGCATAAGACAGATTAACTGTTGCATAAATCCATCTATCTAAATCTTGAAAATGATCTAATTATTTATATTTTCACTTAAAAAAAAAATTTAAACACCATTCATATTCCCCGAGTGAAAACCCCATTTAGAACCATCAATATCACAACTCACCATAGTAATCTACCTTCAAATTAGAAGATGATCTCATGATCTACTCAAAAAAGCCTAGTTCCCGAAGAACTTAAAACACGCGGTAGAGCTTCACAAATCAATAGTCCTTTCAACAATTGAAATGAAGAAAGTTAAGTCAATAGATCTTATAATAGTAAGATGAACCAGTAAAGTTTACTATCTGTTAGAAGATGTGAATTTTCGACAAACCCAACTAAAAAACTTTAATTTGATAAAGAAAGTGGTCGGTAGAGCTTAAGGTTTGAAAGAAAACAGGTTCCAAAAGATGTATTTATTAAAGCTAAGGTCTACCAGAGGTGCCATATGATGAAGACAAGATGTATTCATAAACCCTAAACCAACACTTCAATTTGAATATCACCTTATTATCCCAAAATAAAAAAATAAAAATGGTAAACCTTACAATTTGACAGCTTTTGATGAAGACAAGTAGTATAACATACAGTAAAATAAAAGTAGAAGAAATATGTTTGTATCCAAATTTCCCGACAGAGTGCTGTTTATGCTAATCTTGAATGTTAATGAATTGGGAGTGGGGAAACCTAGCTTATTATCTGCATAAATTGTATAATCCCTTCTGCCTCTACCCCACCCAATATATGTCACTGAGAGACCAAATGACAACAAAAAACTTGCAAAGCAGATAAAGTGTAACATCAAATTTTTTTCAACCTACCTAACTTTCTTCCTATACATACTCTACCTATAAATATTTGTGAGGTGACCATTATTCTTGTATTTCTAAGCCATACAAATTATTAAAAGCAATCCATTCTTTTAGGATACAAACAATCCTATAAATACCCTATAACACAATGCCAATGGCCATTGCATCTCTGCAGATAGAGACACATTTTTCCATTTCCTCTTACTTTTCCTTTTTATTGCAGCAAATGACAATAAAAAGGAAATGGAGTTTTCTTTTCTGCAGCTCACCATCTCCATAATTGCCTTAGCCGCCATTGCGCAAACATCTTTCGTACAATCCGCCTGTGACTCTGATTGCGTTAAAGGGTTTGTTGCTGCACATAACGCGGCCCGACAAACTGTTGGATCTCCACCTGTTAACTGGAACTCCACCTTAGCAGACATCGCCGAATCCTATGCCGCCAAGAGGTCTGCTGACTGTGTGCCGCAGAACTCTAACGGGCTGTATGGGGAAAACATTGCGGTGGCCTCTGCCGAATTGTCTCCGGCGGATTCCATGAAGTTGTGGATGGGTGAGAAGAAGGACTATGACCACGCATCGAATTCTTGCACCAGCGGCAACAATTGCCGCTCTTATACGCAGGTGGTTTGGGGCGGCAGCACGAGTATTGGCTGTGCTAGGGTTACGTGCAAAACTGATTGGATGTTTGTCATCTGCTACTATAACCCTCCGGGCAACTATATGGGCGAAAAACCATATTAAACACAATTTTTTTTTTTATGATTAGTATGATCTTGTGAAATGCAGACAGTGCATTAAAAAAATATATATATATAAATATTTAGAAACTACAATATTATCACTAATGTATTATCATGAAACAAATATTGTTTCATGCACGGATGCTGAATCAATTCAATTTTGAACTTTTTCTTTTACATTTGGCTAGCTATTCTTCGAATTATTTTTTTTCTGGGTTCGTGCATAATACTTGGTATCCCACTAATTGTGAGTTCATTCTTGTAGAGTTCTCTTATTGCAGAACACTCTTTAATATGCTCCACTCAATTAATTAACTACATAATTTATGGATGGGAAAATTGTAAAAAAATGTCCCTCTATAATATGCCAATTATCAATGTCACCCATGAATTATGAGTGCTGTAAATGTTGCCCCTCAATTATCAAAATGGTGCACATATAGCCCCTCCCGTAACGGACCTGCGGTTCCCCACCGTTGTCCATCGCTAGTACTTCGAATTGAGGTATGGAAAAAACAACTAAATTACATATTTACTCCGACTTAACGGTGCCGTACACTAACGGAGAACCACATGTACGTTACGGGAGGGGCTATATGTGCACCGTTTTGACAATTGAGGGGCAACATTTACACCACTCATAATTCAGGGGTGACATTGATAATTGACATATTATAGAGATGTATTTTTTACACTTTTCCCTTTATGGATTTTAAGATTCAGTAAAACTTTTGCCTAGAAATTTGATGTCTCTTTATAGAAGAAACACTAATTGTGGCCTGGTCACATTCAAAACTTCAAAGTAGGTCTTCCAGTCATATCTTGTCAAGTCACCTAAGCACAATTAATATAATCAAAATAAATGAGTATTTACGACACTTTATCACACATGTATGTTGTTGAATTGATTAACAATAAGATTTGATACAAACATTATTACAAATTGAACCAAAAAAATCTAACATTATGAAACTAACATTGGGAATCTTATTGAACCAGTGTTCTCCTTTACCGGCTTGATATATTCATTTTTGGTAGGAGACACCAGAAGCACACAGACCCTAGAGGTGCAATTGTTATACCATGGACCAGGGTTCACATTGTATTGTGGATTCTGTTCCAGTATTATATTAGACCCAATCGTTATATCTGCACTATTGTGCGCCCTGGTGCACGATATAATTTGCTTATTAGACATGCGTTGAATCTCCCCGGAAAAATTAGACTTTGGCTTCACCGGGAATAGCTTGAATTAGGGTCGTCTTGGTCTTATTAAGAAATGATTTGACCCCGCTAAAACTGGCCTAGGACCAAACTCAAGAAATAAAATGTTTTAATTTTTCGCTTCTTCCAACACTAGATATATAGATTAAAAATATGCTAAATGGCTTTGATACAATATAAAAAAATTGATTTTAAAATATTGTTAGCACAAAAAAACTAATGATGCTAACATAACTACAACGGCTAATTATTGTGTGCACCATAGTCCACGCAATGCTGTGTGAACCATAAAAATACATTTTAAATATAATAAAAGTACATTATTCGTATACTGAATGTATATTATACAAAATAGTGTATTTTTAGTACTCAAATAATACTTTTCTCTGAATACAATGTACATTTTCAATATATTAAAAGTACATTATTTGTGTACTGTATGTACATTATTTAATTGTATAGTCCACATAGCCGTGTGGAACATGGTCCACACAATAAAGATTGAATTACAACTATGTGGATTTTGATTTCATTAATAATTTTACATATTAATAGCAAACCCTATAAAAATAAACAACAAACCCCGAAATTAAAAGTCTTATGTAAATTTTTTAATTTATCAATCTAACATATTTTAATGACTAAAAATAAAATAAATTTTATAATATTTATAAGTTATCAATTTTCATAATGTATCAATAAATTAATTAATTAAACACAATTTAGTAATATAAAAAATCAAGTTCAAACGATATTACAAGCGTTTTATAAATTTTTTATATTACAAGTCTTTTATACATTTTTTATTTTGTAGAAAATGTTATTAATTTTTAATTGTGAGATTAATGGTTCAAATCTTGTTTCAAAAAAAAAATACTATCTTTCGAAATGTGTGCGTCTCATATATTAACATTTTGTATTAACAAGTTGAAGTGCTTCAATTGGACATTGATGGTTAACTAAAATGAGATCGAGTGGGTCAAATCTTATCTTTTTTAAAAAAAAAAAGTTTATGATTATTTTATATAAAAATAAATAAATAAAAATATCTGGTTTCCTCTCCTAGTGTCACCAAAGAATTTTCCCACACATCCCCTATAAAAAAAAAATTAAAATTTTCAATAATTAAAAAATTTACTCATATTATTTTTAAATGCTACTGACTCTATTACAGTATACTATCTGTTTAAACACACTACAGTGCCAACAACACCTCCTCTAAGGCTCGATCTCACAACCTCCCACATAGGAAAGGTCACTACATGTCATCAGAGCACAAGGTGTTTGGCAATTTACCCATATTTTTTACTATAACCCTATGAACTCTTATAAACGGCTAAGATGAATTCACATTTTTTAGATCCTGGAATGTGAACCTATGTACCAATCTTAATTTTTGATAGATTGGGATTAGATAGTTCAATTCATGTACAATTAAAACCCTTAATGCACATTTTTCTTTAAAAACAATTAATGGGGTTAAGTTGGTGATTGCAATGAATAATAATTTCCTTCTATTCAGTATGATATTACGTTTTCAATCGTGAAACTCGATCGATAATTCCAGTCATGATATCCTTTGGATTTTGAATAACGCTTTTGGTGAGTCACCATCTCCGGCGACCGTGATCACTCGTGAACCCAAGTATGTTGCTTTTGATTTTATTTTCGAACGCTGATTTCGATCCTGGGAGCTGTTGTTCCTAATGATTAAAGTACGATGTAGTTGTATATTAGACCAGGGTGAGTGGGATGTGTAAATGGGATTGGTTGAACTGAGGGCAGTGGATTACGGTTTAGGAGACGCTTATCTATTGTTCCATTTCAGAAAGATGCAAAGTGCATTATATTCTTGTGGGTGGTAATTAGTTGTTATACCGTGGACCATGGCCCACACATGACCATGATCCTCGAATGAAACTATAGAAGAATTAAAATGATAGTTTAGTGTTACTATTATGAAACTAGTGTGTGTGAAAAATGAAACTAAAAAACAGGAGCACATTATTTTCAAATGAAACTAGTGTGCATGGAAAATAAAACTAAAATCCAGAGCCATACAATATCATATATTGTCAAATGACCTGAAGTGCAATTAAAATAATACTTCAATATTACTATAATTAAACTAGTGTGTGTGGAAAATGATACCAAAAAATTGAGCTCAAGCAATAATGTATATTATGAAATGAAACTATAATAGATTTAAAATGATACTTTAGTATAGTATTGCTGTAATGAAGCTAGTGTGGAGGGAAAATGACTCTAAAATACATGGCATTAATGTCAAATGAAATTGAAGTAGAACTAAAATGATACATACTTGTAATCTATGATACTACATAGACCATGGACCAGAGTAAAATATGTGGTGGTACACTGTTGAAAGTCCCAACGTGGTGCAATGGGTTTTAGTATATTGTGCATATGATAGTGTAGTGTCTTCTGTTATGAAAGTCCCTATGTGGTGTAAAGGTTGGGGTTACCCTCCAAGAACGATGTTCTTTGTGGGTCCTGAAAGAGAGAGAAATGGCAGAAGAGAGTTGCAGTACTGCGCGTTTGGTGCATATCTTGCGCCTTGCTTTTCCTCTTTTTTTTTGTTTTTTTTTTCCCCTTTTTGCGCCAGATTTTGCTTTTCCCTGTTTGTTTTTTCCTCTTTTCTCTTCTCCTTTTTCCCTTCACTTTCGTACATGGCCTACAAAAACCAATGCTAAAATAAAAAGTAATGAGGATGCTCTTTGAAGAATATACCCACAAACATATTTCTATTAAATGCACCAAGTGAGTTTAGGAAATGCACACTGATATTGTTATCCTGCGAAGATGCTCAAAACTAAGAGTAGTGTGGCACAAGAAATAAAATCAGAGTGCACAAGGCTAAATCCATAGGCAAATTAGTTAATAACTTCATAAGTATTGTGGTTACTAATTAACGACGTATAGATTTCTGTGTAAAGATCAGAGAACAAATGCATTAATGTAAATGTATTATATTAATAAAAATAAGGGAAAACTAGAAACAGTTGTTAACAAGAAAACGAGCGGATTTTTTTATTTTATTTACTTCCATGGTGTGTGGTCTGTGTGTTTTTTTTTTTTTTTTTTTCTGGAGAGTGAGGTTGCAACAATTTTCGTTAACGGTGTGTAACAATTGGTGAGTAACCGTGATTTTAACTCGAACAAAGCTCCAAACCCAAAAAAGCTCCAAACCCAATGTCCTAGGCATCCTCAAAAGTTGTAGTTTTTTTTAGAAATTTTGCAAATGTAATTAGGAAAAAGATTATGGGAGGGATGAGAGAGAGCGAGAGAAAAAAATAACGAAACAAAGCTGAAAACTAAAAAATAGTAATAAATAATAAATAATAAATAAATAAACTGAAAATCTTCAATAACGCACATAGCGGTGGAGTTGCGCTTCATGCGACCAGGGTATAAAAATAAGAGAATTTGGTAGAGGTGGAGGTGGCTGCTGATTCTTTGAAGTAGAACATAAGTCTTTATTTTGGTGGGTTCGGAGCCATTTTGTTTTCAGGATGTAATCACAACCCTCGTCGGCTTTGTTGTTGCGGGAGCTCCATCAAGATGCAATGCCGTGGATGATGTAAGGCCACCAGAAAGAGTACATAATTTAATTGATAAGTTATTAATTTATAAATTTTAGGGTAAATTTGTCTTTTTAGTTATTTTTCGCCGAAAAATTGGCCGGATGGATCGGAATTGGGAAAAATTGAATTGTTAAAGTACTAAATTGGTTGTTAGCTTGTTGTTTAAGTGGTTTGTTTAGTTGCTTTGGCCTCATTTGAGCTTAGTTTGCTCGTGGTTTAGGACTACTGTAGATGGGTGATGGTTGGCCTTAAGTTATGTTAGTGGTGGTGTTGCTTGAGAAGTTTTCTCCGTTACTTTGAAACCTTGCACTACTTTTGATCTTTGGAGCCTTGTTTATTTATACCTTGCGATCTCTTGTCACATCTTTGATTCGAAGCTATCTTTTTGGTAATTCCGTCGTGCCCATGCTTCGAGGACGAAGCTTCTTGTTAGGGGGAGAGGATGTGACACCCCGTAAATCTAAATACTAATTGGGAGTAATTGAAGAATTAATCCAAGCTTTCTTTGGTAATCCATTTCTAAAAATCCTGAAATTTTAATTGTCGAGGACTAAAATTTGACTAGTCACTTAAGTCAATCAAGTGTACCTTGTGCTTTATGGTTTGTGCCCTTGCCCCTTTGTTTTTCCAACCTTTGTAAGGGTAACAGTGACCTTTCACCCATGAATTGTTGTTCAAGCTATCCTTGCAAGACATTTCATTCATTCTTCATTCAAGCCTAAGTCCTAATGGCCTGTATGCCTAGTCTTATGTTATGTTTGATGATTGTGATAGATTTAGCGTGTGCACCCATAGTTCTATGGGTGTGACATAACACCTTTCTCGGTTTCTAATAACTTCCGTTTTATGTTCATTTAATGTTTTTTTTTTTTTTGAATGCTACTAGCTCTGAATTCACAACCTTCCTAATGGAAGTCCAACCTAGGTAGCATTGGACCACATAGTCTTGGTATGTTCATTTAATATTTAGCTTGCTTATCTTTAAATTTAAGTTTTAAAAATGTTGGTAAAAATTGGGGATGTTACAAGGAGTGTCCACATCTAACGTGTGAACAAGTGCATAATTTCAACCATGAAAATAAATTCCCTGGCACACTCTGTAAAAAATAATCTCCTTCCCTCTCAAAAATAAATTCCCTCTCTATTATTTTCGTTAACACTTAAGGACACAAAACAAAAACAAATTTCTTCCGCCATTTCCTTTTGCTCAAGACCTCAGACCTCAGACCTCACCGCCGCTCAAACGACTCACTTAAATAAATTGATCTAATATAATTTAGTGATATAAAAAATCAAGTTCAAATGATATTGCAAGTGTTTATAAAACTTTAATATTACAAGTCTTTTAGAAATTTCTAATTTAGTAAAAAATATTGTTAATTTTTAATTTTGAGATTATTGGTTCAAATCTTATTTTAAAATATATTAACTTCGAAAGTATGTGTGTGAATATATATTAATTAACATTAACATTAGTGTATTAAAAGTTTAAGTGCTTCAATTGGACATTGATGGTTAACTAAAATGTGATCGAGTGGGTCAAATCTTATTTTTTAAAAAAGTTATGAGTATTTTATATAAAAATATTTTGTCTCCTCTCCAGTGTCACCCAAAAAAAAAAAAATCCCACACCATGGTAGCTGATAATCCAGAATCCATGGCCAAATTGAAGGAAAAAGTAACAAGAAGCTTGGGCGTTAATGGTGCGTGAGTTTCTGTTCCACTTCCTTCTGAGCTCGTAATTCTGAAATACTCACGCACATTAAGCACAAATCGCACGCACATTAAACACAATACTTAGGCACATTAAGTACAAACTCACGCATATTAACATGACGCACATTAAGTAACAAATCTCAGACACATTGAGTACAAATCTCAAGCACATCAAGTATAAACCTCACACACATTAATCCACCGCACATCCGCACGGGAAGCCACAAATGCACTTGATCCCTTCCCTATATATATATATATATATATATGTATATATATAATATACATATATATATAAATATATATATATATATATATATACATACATATATATATATATATATATATATATATATATATATATATATATATATATATTATTCACAGAAAAGAGAAAAATTTATACACATCACATATATTATGCGCAAAGCTGTGAATAATATAATGTTGATGTACCGTTGCTGTGAATACAAATGTGTATACTTTTGATACCATAGGTCCTACTAAGCTTCTTTGATTTGAAAAGATAGGGACATAGTGTTAGAAAAGTGGAAAAGAATACATAAATTAAAAGTGTTTACAGTTCTGCATTCATATATGAAATTAGCTATTAGACCATTAGTTTATTAATTAATTTAATACAAAACTGGAATATAATGTTTTCTTCTAATTAAGTTTTACTAGTCATTGAATGGGGAAATCTTTTGGCAAGGACTGAACGTGATGAAATACTTGCTCCTGTTTCCAAGGAAGATGACGGGTAGGCGAAAGAAAAAAAAAAAAAAAAAAAAAAAAAAAAAAAAGAAAATGAACAAAAACAAGCAAAAAAAAATGAGTGAAGAGTTAGAAAGTTGTCTAAAAAATGAAGAATTATGACATGTCAATTATCCAAGGGAAATGGACATAACAAACGATTTTGTCCTACATTGTCAACCCAACAAGCAGAATCTGCTGGTTCTTCTACTGTTAGAGGAAGAGTGATGGTTCTTCTGCTGTTGGAGAAGAGGAAGACCATCGCTGCTGTGAGAGGGAGAGTGAGAGGAGGAGGGAGAGGAAGTGGAGAGGGACAGATTGTTTCAGGAAAGCTTTGTTAGAATGTCAGGTAAATTAATTGAACATAATGCGGATTTATTTAAAACTCATGTAGATGGCTCTTAGCAGTTTATGATTAATTGACAATGCTTTCTTTTTCTGTAGCTTGCGCAGAGTGAAGCTCAATGGAGCATGAAGGCAAATGAAGATTAATGGAGTCACTTTTTTTTTTCTCTTTATTTTTTTTTTTTTTTTGTTTTTTTAACTAGCTGGTGTTTATAGCTACTATATATGTATGATTTTGTTTTTTAACTAGCTAATAGATTTTGAATTGGGAGTTTATTTTGTTTTGTTCTTCGCAATATATATATTTTTACAGTTTATATTAGTAACTTCATTTCATTTTTTTTTTTAATTTCACTTGTTTAGTTTTGACCATCTAAATGGTTTTATGTGGATGAGTAAGCAATATACATTCAAATGGCCTCGCAAATTATGTTGTGCATCCGTATGCACCGTGCATGGTGTATAAGGATACAAAAACGATGTTTTGGTTAAAAAATGCGCGTCTTACTTAAAAAAAGAAATCAGGTTCGATTCCCGGCAATAGCATTTTATATATCCATTAATTCATAACTATATATCCATAAATTCATAACTATATATCCACAGTGAATAAGTAAAAATCCACAATGAATGAACTAAATATCCACAATGAATGAACTAAATATCCACAATGATTGAACTAAATATCCACAATGAATGAACTAAAAAATCCATAAATTCATAACTATATATCCAGAAATTCATAACTATATATCCATATATTCATTACTATATATTCACATTGAATGAATGAAGTAAATATCTACAATGAATGAACTAAATATCCACAATGATTGAACTAAATATCCACAA